CCTGCTGATTTTTACAGTCGCGAACAGCCAAAAAAGTGTTCAGAATGCAGAAATTATGTGTGGGATAACTCGGCAGGTTATAACGTTATGTGTTCTGATTGCAAAGATGCCAAAATTACTGAAATAATTGAGTCGGTAAAAGATGAAATACAAATTAATAAGGAACCAATCAATCGTCGATTAGGTCATAAGATTTTTACTTTAAAAAGTGAAAACAAGCATTTACAGAAAGAATTAAACAAGAGAAAAAACAAGTTTTCTACTTTGCTTAATAAAGAAATTAGAAGAAAATATTTTGAGTGCTGTTTTATCTACAAGTATTTAGAAAAAAGTATGGTTATAATTAGTGATTACCAAAAAAGGAGTAATGTGGCTCTAACTTTCTTAAATCAAATGGAGATTCATTCTCCCCAAACTAATCCACCCACTAGTGCCTTTTGTCAGGAATGTAGACATTACCTAGAAGAAAAATATGATTTGATATTATATTATTGTCGTACCGATAACAAAAGTAAAGAATGAGTAACTAAAAAAGATTATGTTAAAATCAAGAAAGCAAAAAGTAAGAACCTAGGTGGAGGAGAAATCAACTAACTCTTTTGGAAAGTGGGTCTAAAACTTATAAAGAAAACTTTTGAATTAAACAACTAACTTCATTTTTCACTCTTTTTGTTATTTTCCTATCCTTATAATTCCGCAAAACTAAATCAATCATTTCGGCAATTTCCCGAAATTCCTTTTTTCCTAATCCGCAAGTTGTCAAAGCCGGCGAACCTAAGCGAATACCACTACTAATTCAGGGTTTTTCTGAGTCATAAGGTATCATTTGTTTATTACAAATAATTCCTACTTTTTCTAATATTTCGGCGGCTTCTTTACCAGTTAAATTATAACTTCTCCTTGTATCAATAACTAATAAATGAGTTTCGGTGCCATCGCTAATTATCTTTACTCCTTTTTCGCAAAAATAATCGGCCATAGTTTTAGCGTTTTCTAAGACCTTTTTTTGATACTTTTTGAAATCAGGTTGTAAGACCTCGTAAAAACATTGAGCCTTAGCGGCAACAATGGCGGGGTTTGGCCCACCTTGATTGCCCGGAAAAACCGCTTTATCTATTTTTTGCCCCAACTCTTTTTTGGATAAAATTACTGCCCCACGTGGACCTCGTAATGTTTTGTGAGTGGTAAAAGTAATGACATCGGCATGAGGGGCTGGATTAGGAAATAAACCAACTGCCACCAAACCGGCAACATGAGCGATATCAGCCAGTAAATAAGCACCTACTTCATCAGCAATTTCCCGAAACTTGGCAAAATCTATTGTCAAACTATAACTGCTATAACCAGCAATGATTAGTTTGGGTTTTACTTCATAGGCTTTTTTTCTAATTTGCTCGTAGTCTAACTTTTGGGTATTATAATCCAAATTGTAATAGTAAACCTTATAAATGGATCCGGAAAAATTAACTTTTGCTCCGTGAGTTAAATGTCCCCCGGCTAATAAATCTAAACTTAATATGATGTCGTCTGGTTTTAAAAGGGCTAAATAAACCGCCTGATTAGCCTGAGCCCCTGAATGGGGTTGAACGTTAGCGTGTTCGGCACCAAAAAGTTCTTTTGCTAGTTCAATCGCTAAATTTTCTATTTTGTCTACATATTTGCAGCCTTGATAATAACGATTGTCGGGATAACCCTCCGCATACTTATTCATTAACAATGAGCCACTATAAAACAAAACCTTTGGAGAAGGATAATTTTCACTGGCAATTAAATTGAGAGTATTTTTTTGTCGTTTTAGTTCTTGCCGGCAATAATAATTAAGGAGAAATTTGTTTTTCACTATTTATAATTAAAGTTTTTAAATAAAGTAAATAGTTTAAATATTAAAATTAATTAATAACTTATGAATAAATACCCTGCTCTTGCAGCAACAAAAAAGGAACCAGAATACCAAGTTAACCCACCTTTGAAAATTTCCTCAGTTGGAACAGAAATTAAAAAAAATAATAGTTCAATGCCTTTTGGCTCAGCAGTTTTGACTAATACTGGAAACTCTTCAAAACTTAAAGATAATGGCATTACCCATATTATTCATGCGACTCTCATGTCGCAAGGGAGCGACGAGGGACTTTTTATTGAAAAAGCGGTGCTAGCAATGCAAAACTCGATTATCCTAGCCGACCTCCAAGGATTTGACAAATTAGCCACTTGCTTTTTGGCAGGAGGAATTTATTGTAATAGTGAAAGCACTAAACCACACCTCGCTGACGCTCTTATTGGAGGTGCTTTAAGTCAATTAGAAAAATGTCAAAGTCTAAAAGAGGTTATTTTTGTTGATTTTGATGCAGATTATTTAAAGGATGCTAGGGACAAAATAGCGGGGGAGGTTAATTGTCCGACAAACATTAATCAAACAAGAACCGAAAAAGGAGACAAAAACCAAAATCTACTCCATAAAAGTCTCCATGGAACCAGTGTAGTCGTTAATTCTGAAAACGCTCAAATGGGTTGAGGTGGTGGTATTTCAGGAAACATTCAGGGAGAGTTGGGAACGGAGGCCAGCAATGTAGATAAGCAAAGAAAAGATTTAATGAAAGAATTTAATGATATAATAAACGGCAAGCGACAAGGAGATAATAATAACCAAGAAAAAATTAGTTTTTTATTTCGCTATGCTGGACGCGGAGGGAGTATTTCCCGCCAAGGCAGTCATTATTCGATGTTTTTTTCGGCTGATGCTACACCTGAAAACGGAGGTAAAGGCAAATATACTATTGAAATTAGCGAAAATCATCCTATTTTTGTTAATTCTTCCCGGCAATTTTGGAAAATTCCGGCTAATCAAAATGAATATCCGCTAGTGAAAATTTCTTGATACAAGTCTGAGGAAAATAAAGAATTGTTTGAAAAAGGAGATTTTATTGAAATAGAGGAACAGCGACCACAAAAAGATAATGGCAACGATAATGGAGACCAGACATCAAACCAAAATAATGACAACCAAAACCAACCCGCAAAAAACGATAATGACCAAAGTCCTAATGAGCAAAATGGTGATGAGGACCAAAAACCTAGCAACAGCAATGGTTCTAATGGCAATAATTCTAACCGAAATAAAAACAAAAACTCCTCCAACCCCAATATTCCTAACTCGGTCAAAGAATATTTTCGAAAAAATAAGGTTAAATCAATAGAATTAGAGGGAGAAAACTGAATAATTACTTATCTGGACAAAAAAGAGAAAAAAACTATTCTAGTGGCTGATGTTCCGAACTTACAGGATTTAAAAGGCTATTTACAATCCCGAGGAATAAATTCTATTAGTGAGGCAGAATTAAATATTACTGATAATATTACAAGCAAGAATAATAATGAAACCAAAAATGAAACTAAATATTGGCCATGAATACTAGGAATAGGGGGAATATTAGCGATCGGGATTATTATTTGGGTGGCTCGTAAAAAACAAAGAAAAAGGTAAATAACCCTGGTTGTAATTTATTAGTCTTAAAATTAATATATGTCAACTATAAAACTTCATTCCAAAAAGTCTCTTACTAAACGCACTAAAATCCTCTCCAAAGGTAAACTAAAACACTGAAGGGCTTATACCTCCCACCTTGCTTATAGTAAATCCACCAAGCAAAAAAGACATTTGCGAAAAAGTTCTCTATTGGGAAGTAGCGATTGAAAAAGATTAAAAAAAATGATTGTTTATTAAAACAAAACCAACATGAATAGCAAATTGGCAGAATTATTCCAAAAAAAACATTACTGGGAAGTTAAAAGGGATAATTTATGCAACCAAATATTATGGGATTACCAAAAAACGGCTTGCTGAGTTCTTTTTATTGCGGTTTATGTTTTTCTTTTTCTACAAAAAGGCACCATTTTTTTTCGAGAAGAAATGGGATGAGAATGACATAATATAATTCGAATTACAATTTTCATAATTTCTATGTTTTTTTGATGGTTCTCCTTAGTTCGAAATATTTTTGATTGCTATTATAAACTTCCCCGCTACCGCCAAAAGATAAGCCAATTCGACCACCAGATTATTGAAGAATTAAAAGAGTTTAGCAAATAAAATGAAATCAAAAATAAATTATCCTTCAGTAGTGGCGGCTATAATCCAAGAAAAAGACAAGACTCCCACTCTATCTGAATTATTAAAGAGGTCAATAAAATTATAAACTAAAATGCCCGAATTACCCGAAGTAGAAACCGTTCGACAAATTTTAATCAAGTCCGGAATAATTAATCAAATTATCCAAAAAGTAGAGGTTTACAGTAGTAAATTAATTAAGGATATAAACGAAAAAGAATTTATTGATTTATTATTCGGACAAACTATTCACAAATTAGAGCGAAAAGGTAAATGACTATTTTTTATTTTAGATACCCATGTTTTAATTAGTCATTTAGGAATGACCGGAAAATATTTTGTGGAAGAAAGCTTGCTTACTCCGGAACAAAAAGCGTCAATCAGTTTAATTTTCCCTCTCGGCAACGGGCAGAAATTAATTTATTGTGATGCTCGCCGCTTTGGAAATTTTCGTTTACAAACTTTGGCGGATTATCAACAATTAAAACCTTATAAAGATATTGGAATTGATTTGCTTAATGAGCCGGTAGATGCTAAATATTTATTTACCCATTACCAAAAACGCAAAATCCCCATTAAAATTGCTTTGTTAGAGCAAGATATTATTAGTGGAATTGGTAATATTTATGCCTCGGAAGTGCTTTTTGACACTAAAATCCACCCTTTGAAAAAAACCCATGAACTTACTTACTCGGAAGTAGAAAAAATAATTTATTCAGCTCAATCTATTTTAAAAGAAGCCTTGAAATTGGGAGGAACTTCGGCTTTTGATTTCATTAATCCCTTAGCCCAAAAAGGTGATTATCAAACTAAATTGAAAGTTTATGCCCGAACTAAAAAACCTTGTTATGTTTGTGCCACTTTAATTGAAGTTAAAGAAGTTAATGGACGAAGCACCTTTTTTTGTTCGCAGTGTCAGAAATTAGATTTATGGGATTAATATATAATTTTACACTAATTACATTTTGCCACCACGAAGTTTATTCTCTAAATGACAAGGTTCACAAAGAATTATCAAATCTCCATTATCTAGTCTAGCCAAAGGGATGCCTTTGTTAATACTTATTTTACATTTAGAACACTTGACAGTCATGTAAATTGGTTCTCCGTCAAAGGTTTTAACCATATAAGTTATTTTAAGTCTTTCCCTCTCTATTTTTTTTGAGTTTCTTTTTAAGGTCTTTTAGTTTTAGAGGAGGAGTATTTATGGCAGTTTTTAACATTTGGTCAAAATCCTTGTTCTCAGTGAGAAATTTTTCTTCTTCTGGTTGATACTTTCTTTTCATTAATTCTAAAAACTCATCCTTATCTTTGGAGATAGAAGCTAATGTTTCCACTGAGTTAATCACTTTTTTTAAGGCTTCTCTACCTATCTCCGGAGTTAGTCTTTGATGAAATCTGTATCTGTAATGACCTCCTTTGGTCTTTGGTGTTTTTTCTTTTATTTTTTCTAAGACAACTGTGCCTTTCGGCAAGTTTTTATAAACCAACTCATTAGTCAATTTACCAATAAATCCTGGTCTTTTTATATTATCAACAGTAAAAGGTAAATTCCAAAGTCTAAATATCTCTTTATAAAAAGTTCCTTGAAATGTTTTTTTTCATTCTAGAACTTCTTCGGAGATAAAGGCTTTTAATATTTTCTGTAATTCAAAGTTTTCCCTTTCATATTGGTATCCCGTAGCTTCATCAATTAAGGCAATAATCCCAACTCTGGCAAATGCTCTAACTAATATTTCACACTGGTCAGCAACTATTTTTTGCCTTTTGTCTAACTCTATGTGCTTTCTTGCTTCTAAATAAATATCACATATATCTGGTAATACAGTTGCTTTATAAGCATTAATCTTAATTTTTCCATCGTAGCAAAGAATAGGGTCAAAGTGCCCCCCTTTTTCTCCTTGATTTATAAAGGGTTGAAGTGTTTTTTGACTTAAATTTTTCCTCAGTCGTGGGCCCCCCTCTCTTTTTTATCATCTTTGTCCACCATTTTTAGGGCTAATTGCACACTATTGCTTGATAAAACCCTAGTTCCATCTTCCAAAACAAAACAAGGTAGTTTAAATCCTGCTAAATCTAATTTTCCTCTGTGTTTCACTTTTCTTATTTCTGTATTTTTTTCTTTCATATTCATATTATTACAATATGCGAAATGAATGTCAGTGTTTATAATTTAATTTTAGCATCCTTTTTATCAAAATATTTAGCACAATGTCAGAAATATTTATTTAAATCTTTCTTATTCAACAACTCAACTACTTTTTCAATCGCCTTTTTCATTTCCTCGTAATTTCTAGGTCGTTGTTTCTCGGTTTGTTGCCTTAAAAGGCAGAAAACTAACTCTGTGGGATTTATCATCGGAGCATAAGTGGTAATAAATCTAACTTCGATATTCTTTTTAGCATCTGTTCCTTGGTGCTTAGTAATTTTGCTTCTTCTCTCTTTCGTGGGGCATGATGGATCCGAGCATTATCCATTAGCAAAATATTTTTCTTATCACCAATAGCACTAATCTCCTCTAAGAAATAATAAAAAACCCTTCAATCAACACTTCCTTTAACTAATTTTCAACAAACTACTCCATTTTCCTTTAAGTTACTGATAGCAAATAAAAGAGTGTAATGTTTACCCTTGTGACCAGGTCTTTTTGAAACCGCTCTTTTACTTGTTATAGAATATCCAAATCTTGGATTCAATTTGGGATAGAAAGAGCATTCATCCAAAGCAATAAAAGGAAAGTGTGGTAACAGAAGTTTAATCTCTTCATTGAATGCCTTGGCTTTTTCTTCATCTAATTGAGTATAATGATAAGTAAGTTTCTTTCTAGTTATACCTTCTCTTTTCAGTAATCGAGACATATTAGACTGATGCAAAGTTAAACCCATTTGCTGAGTCAAAAAGTTAATCATGTCTTGCTGAGTAGCAGTATTGTTTTGCTCAATGTAAGTTCTTAAAAGTGGTAAAATATTCTGAGTAATTTTTCCTTTTCGACCAGTTGCTTGTTTAGTTTTTCCAGTATGATTAATCTTGCGATAAAGAGTTCGTTCACTTACATTATAAAAAGTTGCTATCTTATTCCAAGCATAGCCTTTTTTATGTAAGTTGATTAAATGTTGTGGTTCTAAAGATAAGCTTAGTAAATTTGTGTTATTTATATAATTTTTGTATGTATTCATATGTGTATAAAATAAAAGTAAAAAAATTAAGAAATAGTGCTATCATAAACATAAGTTCGCATTTGCTGTCTCTTTCTTAAATTAGTTACTAGTTTTCAGTAGTCTTTTTTATAATTATAGTATAAATCTAACAAGCACTCATTACAGATAAATTTCCCTCCATCTTCTTCTTTTTCGGTCCAGTAATCCCAGTTATTTTTGAAACTGTAATCCCACTTAGGAACTACAAAGACAAGAGGGAAAGTTTTCTGGCACTGAAAGCATTGAACTTCCTTGGGGGAATTAAGTGGTGAAGTTGGTTTTTTCTTTTTAGTTTTCATATATATAATTTTATAGGTGTTTGTAGGTTTATGTAGTTGTATTAAAAACTATTAAACTGTTTCTAATATTAATTTGACACATCCTTCCATATCCATTGCTTCACTAACTGGAACTGGTTTATTATTCTCATTCGCTTGGTAAACTTGATATTTTCCTTGTTGGTTAGTTGTAGTTATTACGCCCACTACAACCTTGCTGGGTGGAATTACTGCTGACTTTGCCTTAGCTTTTTCTCTATCAAAACTTTCAATTTTAAACAACTTTCTATCAATTTTGTCTTGTAATAAACTCTTACCTGTGGTTTCAATAGCCACTACTAAATCATCATTTAATCAAACTAGAAAGTCAGGATAAAATTTTTTAGTAGTTCCTTTGCTAAGTAAAGGAATTCCGCAACCACTAAAAACTGGATTACGAGTTCAATCATAACCCAAACCATCAATTACTCAAGCTGCTTCCAATTCTAAAGGATTTAGATTACTATATTTTTCATGAACGCTATTCTCAAATTCATAAATATCCCTTTTCTTATTTATACTGATACTAGGAATTGGTTTGCAGTCATCATAAGCAGTAATTAGTTTAATAGTGTTCATAAAAGTATTAACAATTTCCTGAGCAATGATTTTTAATTCATTATCAGCATCTGAATTGACTCCAATTGGGAATTTCAACTTTTCTCTATATTCTTTGCGATTAAAGTTGGTTAAATCTAAGGCTCGAGGATTAATTTTAATAATATTCCTTCGTAAGACATTTTTAGCACTTACTTTGTTATAACTAGCGAACTTTTCCCATTTAATATTAGCAGGAGATGATTTCCCTATTTTATACTCAGCAATAGTCCTTCCTCCGTATGGTTCAACAAAAGAAGGAGGAACTTTGGAGTAGTCTTTAACTTTGTTTTCTAAAATGTATTGAATATTTAATTTGGCTTCATCTTCATTGATGGTTCCTATCTTAGGAAAGTATCTAGTTTTTCTGGCAGGGCAAAGGGTTAGTTTGTCTTTATCCGAAGCTAAAACCACTTCATTTTTAATCTCAGGAACAGTATTTTCTAACTCTTTACTAATTTTTTTTACTATTTCCTTAAATTCTTTGTTACTATTTTCTTTAATATGAAAGTAAGCGGTGTTGAGGTCTTCAAAATCTTGCTCATAATGGTGTCGCTCTGGCATTCTTAATACTCTTCCAATTAATTGTTCGGCTTGAATCAATATAAGCCATATAAACAAGAGGGTCATCTCAACCTTCTAATAAGCCCTTGTTAAAAATTATATGTTCATAATTACCTTTTAAGAAAGTTTGATAATCACTGTTTTTGGTGCTACTATCAAAAAGGTTAAATCGTTTGTCGGGAGGATTATCCTTATTAAAATCTACCCTAGCACAAACCGCAATTTTACGAGGGTCTATTTTACATTTATCTACTAAATGCCATCAAATTAAAATAGGGGGTGATTTTCTTTGCTCAAAAGGTAAATCTAAATTATCCTTTTGTCTAGTTTCAGTTTCTAATAAATTGGTTTTACAGACATAAATGGCTTTTAAGTTTGATAAGCTTTTCTTCTTGGCTAATTTATTCAGTTTATTTAAGTCTTCTATTAAACTATTAATTATTTCTCCCATTGATGCTTCATCGTAACCAATAGACCGCAGTTTAGTTTTAATTAGCCCTTCACCAACCACATCAGAAGTAGGAACCGATACTACTAAGTCTTCCATTTTTATTTGAGCCTGCTCAATTAAACCTCCTAATCTTCCTGCATAAGTTAGGGTTCCCGAGGCTAAGATTATCCCTTCTGGTTCTAATTCTAATAACATGTCTACTTGCTGAGAAGTAAAATGATGACCTTCATCATAAATAATAAATAATTCTCGCTTTTCTCCAGCAAAAGTTCTTTGTTTTAATAACTCTCAACCCGAAATTCCCCCTTCATCTTCTCCCTTATCATAGATTAATCGATAGTCTTCTTTATTCTTAACATTAATATTGAAAGTGCTAGTAGTAGCTAAATAAATAATATGACCAGCAGTAGTAGGTAAAGTAGAACGTAATTGAGAAAGAGGATAAACTGCTACTTGAGGAATTAAAGGGTTAAGTAGTTTACTAGAAAGATTGGTTAAAGTTTGTTCAACTACTACTTTACTATAACTTAGTCAAAGAACGATTGAATTTTTACTTTTCTCATTTTGTTTAAGTAGTCGGTTAGCAGTAGCAGTTAACATGGCAGTCTTACCACTCCCCGTAATTGACTTTAAAAAGCAAACAAAAGGGATTTCAACAGTAATTTCTTGCTTGAAAATCTTTTCTAAATATTGGTTGAATTTTTCCTCTATTTTATCGACTACGTTTTCTTGGTAAGGATATAGTTTGTCTACTTTGTCTTCTGTTTTGTCTATCATATTATTCGGCTCCTAGGTCTTGCAATATTTTTTCAGGTATTTGTTCAAACTCGATATTGGAAGTAGAAAAACTACATAAACGAGCATAAACATGATATTTATCAGTGGATAAATCAGCCTCTTTAGCCTCTTGAACTATTTGATAGTAGGTTTCTTGATTTAATTGCGAATTACCATTACCATTTCAAATAAGAAAAATCCCCTCTTCTTGTTTATTTTTTGCAATTAAATACTTAAAATTAGAATTTTCAGGAATAAGCAAGAGGGAAGTTATTTGACTAGCAAAAATAGCCTCAATGATTTCTTTCCTTTCCATTTTTAGTAAAGTTGCCTCATCAATGGTTTTATCTAAAGTTAAGAACTTAAATCCTCCACCTAGTGGTTCGTGTTTTTTTCTATCTGCTCATTCGCCAGTGATAACTGCTTTTAGACGTTTTTGTAAAAGGGTTCGAGCATAGTTGTCACCATTTTCAGGTCTTCCTTGTTCAATCAGCAGAATGAATTTTCGTCTCTCTCTCTCTCTCTAATGGAATTATTTTTATTTGATGTTAAGACTACCTCTCCAGTAGTTCCTGAACCCGCAAAAGGGTCTAAAACTAAACCATTGGGAGGGCATCAGAGTTGGATGATTTTTTGGAAAAGTTTGAGAGGTTTAACTCCAATTAATTGTTTTTCTACTCTTTCTCTAAGTTCATTGGTAGCAATTGCTGAACTACCTCCAAATTTACTATCGAGGGATACCGAAACTAGTTCTTCCTCATTTCAATAATCAGTGGCAACTTTTCCTTGTTTAATATCTCTCAAGTATCTTTTTATTCCTGGTCTACCCAGCCCTTGCTTAGAAAAGACTAATTTTGGTCAGTTTCCTTTTTCAAGTCTTCTTTGAGCCTTCTCTTGAGATGTTTTCAGTAAAGGGTCTTGCTGGGGATTAGCAAAGTTTTTAAAATCTTTTATTACTAGGGCAGGAAAAACTCCATCTTTTAAGTCTCTTTCCTCATATTCCATTCCATATTCTTCCAATCACTTTTTCATATTTTCTTTTGTATTACTTCAGTCTGAACCTTTTCTCATTGCATCTTTTCTCGGATAAATTAGCTCTCCGGTAAAGGGGTTTTGGATAGCGTAAATATTTTTATTATTCACTGTTAGGTCTTTGGCGCAGTTGGGTTGCCGACAACCCAACTGCCAAGTGGGTCATTGTCGGGGTTTTTGTAAACATTAAAATCTTCAGCAGACTTGGGCAAGAGATTAGTCTTAGCATTTTTCTTATCTTTAGTGTAAATTAAAATGAATTCTGTACAAACAGAAATATGTTCGACCATGCTGTTAACTGTTGCTTTTTGCCAACTGATGATTCCTAACCTATTTTTTTCACCAAATATTTCATTTAGTAAGCAAGTCAGCCTAGAAATTTCTCGATAATCAATACAAATAGCCAACACTCCGCTTGGCTTAAGCATCTTTCACATCATTTGTAATCTAGGAAGCATGAATTTCATTCATTTAGTATGCTTTGAAGAGTCATCTTCTCTTACATAATCTCCTAATCCTTCGTCATTAGGGTCTTCATCCCACTTATCATTATAGCGAAAATCTTTACCGGTGTTATAAGGAGGGTCAGTTAAGATTAAATCCACTTTACCATGATACTGATAAAGGGTAACCATTGCTCACAAATTATCCCCTTCAATTACTAAATTTTTAGATTTTTCTTCTTCTGAACCGATACTTAATTCAGGAACTTCCTTTAAGGTTCTAGGTTTAACTTTTCTGGCCACTTGTTGGGCATTAGCTTTGCCAGAAAAGAGGATTTTGATACCACCTCTAGTAAATTCTTCTCGCTCGTTTTCTAATTCTCTGACTCTTTCTTGAAGAGAGGCAATTAATTCTTGTTCCTTACTCACTTTTGGTGAAAAACCCAACCATTATTTTATTTCTGCTTTTTTTTACCATATTTTTTAATTCTTGTCGTTAATTGCTTGCTTGTATAATTAATATTTTAACTTTACTATTTAATAACTTGATAACAAAACTTATATTAAAGAGTAAAATCTACTTATGAAGAAACAAACTTGTTCTCAGTGTGGAACTTCAAGCAGTGGTCCTTACCGACGCTTATGAGAGTTTGATAATAAATTGCTTTGTCGTAGTTGTGCAGTTAAGACTTATGGTTATGAAGAACACTTAACCGACTAAGTAAAAGAGAAGGCTTTACTTGTGACTTTTGCCATGAAAGGAGAGTAATTGGTTTTAATACCCCTCTTTCTAATAAAGTTGTAGAAGGAAATAAAACTAAATGTGGGATCTGCTATTATGGAAGTAAAAGTGTAGAATGCTGTGAAATATTAAGCCTTTTTGCTAGTCATGTTAAAAAGAATATTATTGAGAAAAATGAAGAGGAGTGGTTTAATGACTTTACTTTTAGATTTTTTGAGGCTTTAAAAGAAAAGAATAAATTATGCTATAAATGTTTAGAGTTTTTGGAAGAAAAAGAGGATAAAATTTAAAAGTCTAGTTTGTTAAAATACTGACATTCATTTCGCATATTGTAATATATAATAAGTATGACAAGAAAATTAATTCATTGCCCAAAATGTGGTAAAGGTTCTTTTATCAATCTAAACGAGAGGGAAGAGAAAAAAATCAGCAAAAAAGAATTTGACAAAATTTTAAGAGCCGTGGCTAGTGTTCCTCCACCTAAAAACTGAAAAGAAGAAGTTAGGAGGAATAAATAATTTATTCTATTCCTAAAAGTTAGTTAGTGTAAAATTATATATTAATCCCTAAATATTTATATAAAGTCTACATCAGTTTAAATAAGGGTTGAAAATCTTAATTTTCTTATAAAATTAGACATCTTGGAATAGTCAGGAACAGTTTCAGATCCCTTTTTTGTAAATGGTAATTTTATTTTCTCTGTTTCAAATGAGACATTATTCATAGAAAATCCAAAATTATATTTATCCTTAAATTTTGACAAAAGAGCAGCCAAGTAAATCATTGAGTATTTGTCTAAGTTTTCTTTAGGAGACAAAACAAAAACAGTAGAAGTTGATATAAAAGTATTTTCCTGATAAAAACCTAATCCTGCTCCTCCATTTCCTGTCTTGTTTAGGGTAATGCAATTTTTGTATTCTCTAACTTCCTCTTCTTTAGAGGTGATTTTAACTACCCCATTATTATTATTTTTTGCTCCTACTAATAAGATTCTTCCATAGAAATTTTCTAAATATATTTCTTGGTTAGAAATGTTTGGTGCTGGATCAGTTTTTTCTTCTTTTTTACCCTTGACTTTTTTATTTGGCTTGTTTAAAACATTAAAGATATCTTTTAAAAGAAAATCTTGGCAGGTTTCAAGAGGTATTTCTTCGTTCGATTCTTCTAACAAGTTGCTCATATCCATTTCGTTAGATGCTATTTCAAACAAAGTTATGAAATCTAAATCCTTATCTAGTAACTCATTATTAAGTTTAATTTGGTATTCCAAGTATTTTTTTATATAACTTTTAAAGTAACTTTTGTCATTAACTATACTTTCAAAATCAACATTCATATAATATTCATATAATCATGGTGAAGAGTAATCTTTTAACTCTATATACTTAGCAATTCCACTAACTGTTTTTGTTTTTTCATCCATTTTCTTAAAAACATTCAATAATTTTTTCTTTATGGAATCCCATCTTCCAAAAATATCTATTCTTCCTTTATTTTTTTGAACTGAATATCCATCTTCTTTTAGATTGTAAAATAAGACATTTTTTTGTTTATGAGGTGTATTAGCATCAAAAACCGCTATTGCTGTTTTGACAGATGCGTTAGGCATAAAAAGATCATCAGGCATGCTTATGACTGCCTTTAGAGTATGTCTTTCCAAAATTTCTTTTCTTAAGTTACTATCTTGAATAAAGACAGAAATGGGAGCAATAACAACTAATTTCTTCTTTACTATTTCCAACATTTTTTTTATAAACCTAATTTCTTTTTTTATAGGATTTTTTTCAGAGTCTGAACCACCATAGGGAGGATTTATAAATCCTACTGTTGGTCTATTATTATCACTTTTTTTGATTTCATCAATTTTTTTGAAACAATCTCCAAAATGAATTTGAGCCTTTCCATCCCCATGGAACATCATGTTAGCTAAAGACAATGTAAACATTCCAGAATGATTTTCTATACCAATTAAGTTATTCTTTTTAATTGAAGTAACTGTATCTGGAAGTTTATCCGACTTATCTATCATATATTTCATAGCTTTTATTAGAAATGTTCCAGAACCACAACAACTATCTAAAACAACATCACTAGGATGTAAATCTGCTAACTCACAAAATAATTCTGCAATATGTTCTGGAGTTAAAATAATTCCTTTCTTTACATCCGTTATCCCTGCGTATTTGAGAAATCTTTTATAAAATAACCCCATTACATCGTAGTCTTTATATTTTATAAGAATAGGTAATATTTTTGCATTTAACTTACTTAATATTCTGGCTAATAGTCCGTTTTCCAGCAATTCGTGCTTACAAGCTTTTAATGTGTTGAATCTGTCTAAAGTTGTCTCTAGTTTGTCTTCAAATATTTTTACATTTTTCAAGTTTTCTCTTATTGAATTAAAAAAGTCTTTAAACAAGTTTTCTTTGTCTAAATTATCAAAATTATCCTTGAAATTATTGTCATCGCTGGTGAATAAAGATATTATTCCCCCCGACAAAACAATGGGTCGATTGGAGGCATCGATCCCTCTCAACATATTGTTGATTTCATTTGATACTTTATCAACCTCATTAACCATGTTTTTATATTCATTTATCTTCTTTGCAAATATATTTAAGTAATCTTCTTCATTCAAAAAACAGTTAACGGCATCTAATACTGGATTTATGTCAATGGTAAAAAAAATGTTATTTTTATATTCAGCAGAAAAAGTTGATATTTTCTTAATGTCATTTTTTCTATCATCAGTTACTGCTAATCCTATTAGTTTTATCTCTTTGGTTTTTGACAAAATTTCTTCTACTTCACGTTTTTCATAGTATTCTCCAAATGTTTTTTTTCGAAGCAATTCAAATAGTGAATGATTCCATCTACACAATACTTAATAGGGTCTGGTTGAGACAAAAATTTGCTCCTATGAAAATTTATACTAGGCTTAACCTCCCCCAAAATTAGCAAATTGTTCTCCTCATTATAGTATATTAAGTCAGGCTTACCAATTTCTCCATTATTTTTTTTACTTGCAATATTCAAAACTTTCTGAATTTTTTCTTGTCCTTTTAATTCCTCTGTCCTTCATTTATTTTTGAAAGTAAATTTACTTTGCAATTCCCCCAATATTTCGATTATAATGTTTTGTTCGTTGCTTTTGTCCATATTACAATGTTGTAAAATCCTTGCTGTTTTTAATTTAATTTTAATTAATGGCTTTTATTTTTTTTACTAATGAATAAATAAGCAAGGTATTAAGTAAGATATTTACACTAACTATCTAACCTAGTTAATATGAACTTATTTTATTGACTTATTTTTCTTACTCCACAAATAAACAACTAGAACAATAACTAGGACTAGAATTCCTCCTCCGATTATTCAAGGAGTTCAATTAGATTTGGTTGGTTCTTGACTTTGCTGGTCTCCTAATAATTGCCTCAATTCCTCCCTTTTGGCTTAATGGCTTCTAATGCCTGTATCTCACTTCGTAATTGGGCAATTCTGCTCTCTCTCTCTCTCTCTGTGTGTGTGTGTGTGTGTTGTTCTTTTACACATTTACCACATAATGGTTCTGCTTTGTTTTTCTCTGCTCCACATTCACACTTATTTAAAAGCATTGAGCAACAATCGGCATCAAGGATACGCACGAGGCATTCTCAAGATCCTTACTGCTATTTCATCTTCAAGCAGGTTCTGATTTTTTACCACATTGACAAGTTGCTTTAGCATTAGGATCATAACCAACAGGTTTCGATAACTCAGGTTTACATTCGTCACAAGCCATTATTCCAGGCTTGCTTGGACTACTATGAATTCTAGAAGTTAATTGTTTTTTACAAAAAGAGCATTTAAGGCAACTGACACAATAATAGTCATTGCCTGCCCGAGACCATTGTTGTCCAGGTTTTATTTAAATCGACTTTACATTTGCTGCAGTATTTCATAACCTATAACTTAATTTTATATAATTTTGGAATTTATCTTCTTATTACCTCACAAACTTATAGAGAAATCAAGATTTTAAACTAGGATTATGAATTTTCTTTGAAAGGGGGAGTTGGCGGATTTTACTCATGAAAAAGTTGTGTCATTCCTTTTCTTTGTCATCTCCTCTTCCCTTAATTTGTCCTATTCCGCCCTCCCTTCTTTTTCTTCTTCGTTATCTCTTCCCAAAAAGTAATAAGCCACGGCTCCTATAATCACTAATATTACCGCCACCAGGGCAATTGTATGTCAAGTTTTTCAACCACCCTCCGAAAGTTTTTTCACATTACTTTTTTTGGCATCTTTTTCGGCCGCTTTCATAGCTTCCACTCTATCCTCTACACTTTTAAGCAAAGCATCAAAAGTTTTTTTCTCATCCGTTCCTAAGCCATTATAAACGGCTTCATTTTCACCACCCTTCGCATATTTTTTTAACTCGGCTAATTTACTTTCCAATTTAGGCAAGTTATCTTGATAACTAGTAGCGGGGTGATCAGTCTCCAATTCTCTAATAAAATTGTCGCGAATTAATTTTGCCAAGGCTTTGGATTTATCATCTCCTTTTTCAGACAATTTATGAATTACTTCAACTCGTGGAACTACGGTATCTTTAATCGTTTTATCCGTGCTTTTTTTTAATTTTTCGAGAGCTGCTTTAACTTTGGTTACATCATCCGCGGTCGTAATCCCGGAGTCATCAATTTCTTTTTGCCGACTTTTGACAAAGGATTTTAGATGGTTTAAAGCTCCGGTGGCAAATCCCGCAGTGCAATCTTCATTTTTGTGATTTTTTTTAAGGTTATCGATGGCCGTTCATTCGATTTTATTATTGGTTTTATTACCCTCTAATCTGTCTCTTAAATCCGAGTCATCCTCGGTTTTGCCTCAGGCGGTATGGCAATCTTTAAAGATAGTCACTACACTTTCCACTAATGGTTTAGTAGTCAAGGTAGTGGCTTCATCAATGATTTTTGCTCCGGCTCCGGCAACTAGTTTATCGAGTTCGGTTTTAGCCTTAGTTTTGGCCGCTGCTAATTCTGCCGCATCATCTTTTTGCTCCGGCTTTTTCGCCAAAGTTAGAGCATTATCCGCC